GGTTTATTTTGGCATCAATTAAACATTAGAATTTATATTTTTATTAATTGATTAAGTTAGGGTTTTTCTATTAGTATTTTGCATTAACGTGATTTAATTTCTTCTAATAGGAACTGATTATAAGTTTTTTTTTTTTTTTGAAGTTTTACTAAGTTTTGTTTTTCTGCTGTTGTTAATTGATGCAGATACAAGTACATCTATGTGGATGAATTTACCTATAGCAATTCTTATTGTTTCCGCATTGCGAATTTTAAGTAATGAGGTTGAGTTTAAATGGAAAGTTAAATCAGTTCATCTGCAAACTTATTTATCTCATTTGGAAAAGAAACGATTGTCAGTGAATGATTCTCGGCTTTCTAGTTCACCAGCTCCGCCCAAGTGGAAGCGGAAAATTGATTCTCCTATGGTGGAGGCTGCTGTCAATGAGTTTATTGATAAAATTCTTAGGGATTTTGTTGTTGATTTGTGGTATTCAGAGATTACTTCAGATAGGGAGGCCCCTGAGTTGATGCGCGCTGTGATTTTGGATGCTATTGGTGAAATATCAGTAAGGCTGAAAGAGATAAACGTTGTTGATTTGCTAACAAGGTAGGTTTTTAGTTTAGGATGGTATGTCAGTTGAAAAAAATTTGACGTTTTTAAAAGCTCAAGGATTTCGAATGGTTGTCCAATGTTTCAGGGATGTAGTTGATTTGATAGGAGATCACTTGGATCTTTTTAGAAGAAACCAAGCTGCAATAGGCGTTGATGTTATGGTGACATTGTCATCTGAGGAGAGGGATGAAAGATTGAAACACCATCTTATTGTTTCTGAAGAGCTTCATCCTGCGCTGATTTCACCAGAGAGTGAGTACAAGGTGTGAGAGGAGTGTTCCGATGAAAACACATTTTACCCTTGCATTTTATGGTTTGCTTTTCTCAATTCCTTAATACTTTCTTTTTTTTTCAGGTTATTCAGCGGCTTATTGGTGGAGTTTTAGCCATAGTATTGAGGCCACGAGAAGCTCAATGTCCTTTGGTTCGAACTATTGCTCGTGAGATTGTAACTTGCTCAGTAGTGCAACCTCTTTTAAATTTGGCAAGCCCTGGGTAAGTTATTGAGTGTCAATTTGTTTTTTGTTTAATTTTAAGATAACCAAAAAAAAAAAAAAAGTAATTTTAGTTCCTTTTGGGCTTGAGTTAGTCTAAACTTTTAGGTTTAGAATTTGGCTGTTGATTTGAAATGTATTCTTATTTAGTGTTTATTTGGTTCTTAAAAAGAGTGGAATGATTAGAATATGGGCCATGCTGCATGGAATGGCATTTTAACAATTGGAGTGGCTTCTTGATTAGAATCTTACTCTTGACCAACGTAGGTAAAGAATAGGTGGAGAATGTTTGAAAGGTTACTCATAATAAATTTACAAACACTTCAATTTTCCTAAGTACAAGCTTTGGTTCTTGCCTTAATAAATATTCCTTATTCTTTCTTTTTTCCCATTTATGTCTTATTGTCAGGTATATCAATGAAGTGATTGAATATATTCTGCTTGCCATTAAAGATGATATGAATAAGGTGATGGTAGGTTTTGATCAGTCTTCAGTGGGAGTGCATGCTGATGATTCTACCACAAGCAAAATTTCACCCTTAAACAGTCAAGGAACTGATTTGACTTTGGCTAGAATTGACATTCAGAAAGAAACATATTCAGATTGCAATAAATACGCAGAAGAATCAGTGCAGCCTCAACAAGCTGATTGGGCTCGAATATTAGAGGCAGCAACTCAGAGAAGAACTGAAGTTCTTGCTCCTGAAAATCTTGAAAACATGTGGACAAAAGGAAGAAACTACAAAAAGAAGGAGAAAAAATATGTAAAATATGGAGTTCAAGAATGTATTCCAAAGGGTTCTGTGACAAAGAGTGCTCTATTGACTGGGAATTCAGGAAGTGAAATCTCTACCAACAAGATTGGAACTTATATAGGAGGGGAAGAGCAAAATGTGATGCGGCTAATTCCTGCCTTAAGTCTTGACACTCAATTATGTGATGATAGCACGACTGGTACAAAGTTAGATCCGGAGTTTAACAAGTTATCATCATTTGAAGGAGGTAATCTTGTTAACAAATTTAATGATGCTAGTGAGCAAGCTGCTGATAGAAATAAAAGTAGGCTGAAGAGATCCAGTAGTACCTCTGATTTGAAAGTTGAACCTGATACAAAGAAGGCACTTACAGGAGATGTTGGAGGGCCTATTATTTCAGAGTTCTACAGCCCTGATTTTGGCAGGCATAGTGAACAATATAGGGGTAAGATTGCCTCAAATATAGTACTTCGCAATGAGGGGCCACATGTTCCCAAGCTTAGGTGCCGGGTGAGCATTCCTTTCAATTTTGCTGCGAGTTGTGCCAATTTGAAATTTGAACTGCCAGCTGAATTCATATGTGACGGGATATAATATAGATTAAATCAGCTATTTTAGCTTGGTGGTGTTTAATTGTTGTCATGGACATTTTCTGTGAAATGTAATTGAATTTGCTATTCCCTGTCTACCTCTACAGGTTATCGGAGCATACTTTGAGAAACTTAGATCAAAATCTTTTGCAGTTTATTCAATTGCTGTGACAGATGCGGAAAAAAGAACTTGGTTTGTCAAGAGAAGGTTTCATCTCACCCAACTTTTTTTTTATAATTATTATTTTTTTTAATAACCATTACTTAGCTGAATGTCCTTCTGATATTTTAAAGTTTTAAAGGTTATGTATTCATCTCAACAGAACAACTGAAAGCTCCTGAAAATTTGATTTATTTTTTTCTTTAATTATTTAATTTTTGAAATCTGCAGATACAGGAATTTCGAACTGTTGCATCGACATCTTAAAGAAATTCCTAATTATACATTACATTTGCCTCCCAAAAGGATATTTTCGTCAAGCACCGAAGACGCTTTTGTTCATCAGCGCTGCATTCAGCTTGACAAGTATTTGCAAGTAATTTACTTCCTAGTCAGTCTTTTTTGTAGGATGTTTATATTTAAACCTGTTGCATCAACTAAGCTACCCTTTTGCAGGATCTGTTGTCTATAGCCAATGTGGCTGAACAGCATGAAGTGTGGGATTTTTTAAGCGTTTCCTCAAAGGTGTGTATATCTTCTTGACATTGGGTGCTGCTTTATTTTTTATGGGTAGGATGAATGACATCTGATTCTAGTTGTGGTTGTCTTTTGCTTTTGAAGAATTACTCTTTTGGAAAATCTTCATCGGTGATGAGAACACTTGCTGGTATGTTGTTTCTGTTGGTTATTATGCCATTCTTGCTTTTATATGTTTGGGTTCCAGCTGTAAGCTGCTGCCAACATTAGATTATGTTTTACATTGTGGTTCTACTACTTCAACACATCAAGATCTTCCAGAAAAGAAGAAAAAAAGGTTTAGAGATGCTCCAAATGGGCAACTATAAGTTTAGGGATGCACTCACGTGCATCAACTTTCCATCTGTCATTACATGTCTGTTACATGATGTTTAGCTGTATTACAGGTTTCATCTTTTACACTGATGTGTGTTACCTATACCAGCTTTCAGAGATTTATGTATCTTGTTACTTGCTTAAAATTCTTTTATCTCCAAGTCTTTTATAAATACTTCATCATCTTTTCTTGCTTTACATGGTATTCAGTTAATCTGATTACTCTGGCCTTTTTCTTTGATTTTACTTTTCTGGAAATGCCTCACAGTTGGATTACTTCCATCTTTTTCTTTGGCTTATTTTGTCAATTATTTTTTATTTTTTATTGGGGAAGGAGGATTTTGACCTCGCTCTTTGAGCAGGGATTCATGCTCCTACCTTAGTCAATTGTTGGGTGCAGTTCGTCTTCTCCATTTTACATGTTAAGATGGTTACTGTTAACTTTAAGTGATTTCAAAATAAAGATAACCTATTTTTGTTTATTATCCTTACATTTTTTGTGCACTTGAGCTGAATTTGCTTGGTATTTCTTCTTTTTGTTTTTTTTTTTTAATTTATTTTCTCAATTATTTTTAACAGCGAGAAGTTTTATTCATTCCTAGTTCCTACATATATTTCCAAATGCTCAGGCATCATTGTGAACTCTTAAGTATACTTATAGGAAATCATCCATTCCCATATGGGTCACTTCCTTTTCCCCCTCATTTTGGAAAGACAGCTGTCATGTCAACTTGATGATCTTATGGCATATTATCTTAGTATGATAAATGATGAAGGATCATATCCTATGTCCAATTTTCTGAAAATCATGCATGGATCTTTTGGTTATTGGTTTGATTCTACCGCTATGGTTTATGATTTGGTTTTAACTTGGCTAATTTCTTGCATATAATGAACATTTTTTTTTTATTTCAGATTACTGTCTGACACTTTCCATTGTCTTGCTTATGAACAGTCAATGTGGATGATGCTGTGGACGATATTGTGCGCCAATTTAGAGGAGTATCTGATGGCTTAACGCACAAAGTTGTATCATCTTCTTCCCCTAATGAAGCTTCTTCTTCAGTCACTGGCAGGACCTTGTCATGGAATGCAGATGAGAAGGCTAAAGACATTTCAAGGCAAAGTAACTTAGTTACAGTGAATAGCGCTTCTGATAATGAAGGTGACAAAGATGGTAGCCGTGCTAATGAGGATAACAGATCTGGTTCAGGTGGTCATGGTTGGCATTCAGACAATGAATTGAATTCAAAGAGTTTGCCACCACAGGTGTTAGAGCGTGGTGGAGAGTTTGGCAATTTAGTTTCTGAGAAACATAATTTGGGTGTGAAACCTGAATTGGTTGGCCATAGTGGATCTCAGTCAGTAAAATTTTCAGCAACGTCCAGCCATTTGGAGGATCCAGTTGGAATGCCCCCTGAGGTATCATGCTTTAGCTCTGTATTTTTTAGTTCTTTTTGCTAGTAAGATTTTGGTATATTCTAATAGAAATTGTTTGTTTGTCAACCAATATTTAGTTTAGTGTATGTTCCTGTGAGTGCACTCCTCTAAACTGACAACTTTGCAACTCTGTTAATAAAATTTGGGATTGCATTCATAAGAATGTAAACCAAAGGTAAGCATCATTATTAGGTATTCGATTTTCTTGGTTGGTTGCAAATATTCTCTAGCTGCTATGACCTTTTTTTTGGTGTCTCTCTGGCCATGATCCATCCCTATTATTATGAACTTTTGATTGAATAGTTTCAGTTTAGTTAGGTCACTCCATTTTAGGAAGACCATTCTTGTTATCTATTTGGAATTGTTTTTAATGTTTAACAATTGAATTTTGTGCAGTGGACACCGCCTAATGTGAGTGTTCCTTTGCTGAATCTAGTTGATAAGGTGTTTCAACTTAAGAGAAGAGGTTGGCTAAGGTGAGCTATTTTGCCTTATGTGAATTGATTAATTGTATTCTACCATTCCGTTACTATAATTTGGAAAGATTCTTGTAAAATTGTTTTGTACTGTGTACTTTGGTGTTACTAATTTTTTTTACTTATCATTTTGATTGATTAGTAAATTTTGCAGTGAGTTTTGTTTAGGTTGATTATTAAAAGGGCATGGTTGGTCATATATTTAAGTAGTATACATTGTTTTTTCCAAGCATACATTGGCTGATATAGTGAGTTGATTACCTATCTTGGAACTAGCAAATCATATAATGTCTTGTTGAGTTTTCTGTTGTTCAATCTTTTAAACGGGTAGTATTGTGACTAGTGGCTACTGTGTCGTTTAAGTTCTGAAAAAGGTTTCATGATGAAATACTAATCTAGCATGGGTTTAGAGGCTTTAGATTACTGGCATGGTATTGTGAGTGGTCAGTTACTGCTTCAAGCCTTTTTCCTTATTGCCTTTTAGCCAGTGGCAACTGTCTGGTCTTTCAGACTTTGTGATCCGGTTAAAACTTTAATGGCATGTTGTGTGTTCTAAACGACTTATTTCCAGAATAATTTGGCATAAACATGTGCATGTTTTAATTGATGCAGAAGACAGGTCTTTTGGATATCTAAGCAAATATTACAGCTGGTGATGGAAGATGCCATTGATGACTGGCTTTTAAGGCAGATTTATTGGCTTCGAAGTGGGGACACTGTTGCCCAAGGGATACGGTGGGTTCAAGATGTAAGGGCTGAACACATTAGAAACATCATAATTTAATTTTAGTGTTAACTGGCTCAGCATCTGAAATCAGTCTCTGATTGGGAACTGTGACCAACTGAGGCTTAGCTGTCAGCTGTACCTCAATCTTGAGATCAATGGTCCACTTTCACTAGTCACCTAGTCAAAAGACTCTTGAAGAGCCATGCACAAGTTTTCTGTTTCTTCTAATTGCCTCTTCCTTCTCCTAGGTTCTCTGGCCGGGTGGTACATTCTTTACAAAAATAGGGAACGCTCAGAGCAAATTTGATGATTCTCATCTTGACCAGACACCTTCGCAGAACTCTAGCCAATTTGGTGGGAGTAATGTCTCTAAACCTGGGTCCTTTGAGCAACAACTTGAGGCTACTCGTAGGGCAAGTGACATAAAAAAAATGCTTTTTGGTAAGTATGTTTTTATGTTATTGATATCTTGTCGTTGTCAGATCAGTGTGAAGATCTGCCATGACTTTTGAACTATGGTTGACATGCTTGTAATTCACTTGATCATTACTTCAAAGGGTTTAATTCCTTTGGTCCAGAGTTCTATGATTATATTTCTAATTCTGAAGTCCTTCCATTTCTAGTTTTCAATAATAACTTGTTTATTAAGATAGTTTATGTTGTGAAAATCATTGAACATGTTTATTGTTAAAATAGTTCATGATCAATTTATTTGTATATACACATGTATTTTGCTTGGAGCTAGTACTTCAGCAATGCTGAAAATCGCTAAAAGATTGACCTTTTTGTCAGATGGAGCTCCAACAACCTTAGTTAGCTTAATTGGGCATAAGCAATACAGACGGTGTGCAAGAGACATTTATTATTTTACTCAGGTTGAGTTTTTATCCTTTGCTGCCTGTAGTATGACGTTGATATTTTTCTCCTACTTTCTTTTTTATTTCAATAATTCTGATTATGTTTATGTGTCATTATTCATTGCAGTCTACTATATGTATAAAGCAACTTGCTTATGCAATATTAGAAGTTGTACTCATATCAGTATTCCCTGAGCTACGGGATCTTGTGATGGAACTTCATGGCAAGAAACATATTTAAGTAGCTTTGGATTGAGGTTTCTGGTTCTGTTAAGATAGCAGATTTTTGTCTGAATGAACAATGAAGGCTTAGAAAGGAAATTGTTTCGAGGAACCTGAAGAACGAAATAGTCATTAAGCATCATCTGTCTCAGTGGCTGTGCCTGTGATATTCACTTATACAAATCACTGCAAGTACCATATGGGATCTTTTTTTGAGATTTAGGATATATGCTGATTTGTACTCAGAGAACCCCCTGTACTCAGAGAAAAGGAAATATGTTGTATTCGTTTCACATTCCAAATGTACAGAGAATGTAGATTTAGTTTGTATAGCTATTCAGTAGGAGCTAGGAATTTTGTGTTGATTTGTTTTGGGACATTGAAGGAAACATTAAGTGATATTTTGTTATTCATTCTTACGACGAGAGGTTTTGGAATTTTTTTGGTATACAGGACACTCCACCTGATGGAAAGAGGAGTTAAATTGTTGAGATTTGAATACTAATGTGTTGATATGTTTACTGATATTTTAAAGATGATCGTATCAATCATCTTATTTAAGCAGAGTTTGCGGTTTTGAAATTTTTAGTCGTTTAGTTCTTAAAACTTAGAACACGCAGAATATGCTAAGTTCGGTTCATAAAAGAATGTGGAAGTACAGAAAAAAAAATGGTAGGTAATTCAAGTAAAGAAAATTTAGAAGGGAGCGTTTCGTGTCGCTCACTATGGGTGATTGGGTGTTGTGGCCCTCGATTAATGTCTCATTGTTTCCTACACAATCATTCACTACTTCTCAGTTCACTAGTCAGAAGTCCCGATCCTGGCGAGAGAGAGAGAGAGCAATGTTATGCAAGAGAAAGAGAAGCGCAGAGAAGGGAAACGGAGGAAGGTACGAGAAGTTGAGAGAGCAGAAGATCAAAGAGAACAAGCAGAGGATGCAGAACCTTGGCGTTTTGAACCTCTCCCTGAAACTCACACTAAAGCCAATCCCTTTCCTTAAAGATCCCAAGAAACTCTTCTAACGACAAAACCCACATTCCTCTTCCCGTTTCCCAGCAGCCCCCTAAGACGCTCTTCTCGGTGTCTTTTTCTTTTTTTTTTTTTTTTCCTATTTTTACCGTTTGAAGTCCTTTTTTGCTATTATTATTATACTAATTATCTTTTCGTTTTTTTTAGGTTGAAGACATTGGCTCCAGTCAGATATGTAACAAAAACCCCAAACGCAAGCCTTTTGACAACGATGAAATTGAGATTCACTTAGAAGAAGGTTGGAAACCGGAGATATATACCCATGAACACGAAATTCTATTCGGTGATTGTGAAACGAGTTTGAATCTGCTTGTAGATGGGTTTGGAAGTGATGGGAAACGCATATTTGATCCTGTCAATGGATAAAAATGTCATCAATGCCGGTAATTTAATTCATTTTCTCCATTTTCTTCTTTCCTTTTTTTGTTGATACAAAACTCTTGGTCTCCATACACATTGCAGCCAATGCAAGTTGGTCCAAGGCCAACTCTCTGGAGATTGCTTATATACAAGGTAATTAAGTATTTTATTTTTATACCATTTTAGTAATACTGTTTACTTCCTCAGAATTAATCAAATTTGGTTCTATTTGTACAGGTATGGGGAGAATGTGATTGAAGTAAACCAAAATCCCAACTGGATTTGTCCTGTTTGTCGTCGAATTTGCAGCTGCAGTCTTTGCTGCCAGCAAAAAGGGTGGAGACCACCTGGTTCTATCTACAGAAAGGTTATATATATAACACATTGAAACTTTGCTCCTTTGTTTGGATTATGGGTTCTGTAGTTTAGTATTCTGAAGGACTAATAAAAAGCCAAAAGAATATACATGGCATATCTGGGACTGCATGTAGTTGCTTACGAACTTGTGAATTGTGATGATGCTTTAGGTTAATAGGCTGGGTTTTAAGTCTGTTGCCCATTACCTCATCCAGACTTATTGTGGTCAAGTGAATATGGAAAGTTTGGTTTCTGCAGAGCTCTTAACAGATGCAGGATCACCACATTCTTTGCTGAATGAAGCTATAGATATTGATGAGCACACTGATGGATCCCCAAGGCCTTTAGGTGAGGAATGTGAAGATGGCAAGCAAGAGGAGGTAAAGGAACTGCATTGCTTAGATAGCAATAATGATAATGATGGTGCTGATACCGATGGCAAGTTAAAATAAAAGGAAGCATGATGAACATAGAATTTTAATGAAGCTAAAGTATGAATAGGCTACAAAGATCAGGGGACTTCTTTCTTTCAAGAGTAGTGGTTCCTTTTGCGAGCAAGGGTTATAATTTTCTGCAGATGTATACAGGGGCAAGAAGTAAATTATAGCTTTTGGAAGGTTGGTCCATTTTGCTGAGAGAGAAAAAAAAAGGTCTTTATGCATGCCTTGATGTAACCAAAGTCTTTTGGGTACAAAGTAATGGCCACAGTATTACAGGTTTTGAGTCCCAAAGATTGTTAGCATGATTTCCAATTTCTGTTAGATGGTATAATCATATGATTGTGTGGAACCTGTAAAATCCTGAACTTTCAAGCTTAAGCAGTATCTTCATCATCTTTAGATAGTTGTTGGCCTAGCAAAATGGTGGACATCGTCATACATGATCTGCTGTTGATTGAACCAGCAAACAGGCTTAGAAAAGCTTGCTATTGGCCGGGAACAGAACCAGGAAAAGAGCCAGGACCAAAACCAGGAATAGAACCAGTAATAGAACCAGTAATAGAATCACGCAGATCTGAGAATAGTCTACAGAGAGAATATTGGCGGAGCTTGTTCACTTCATACCATGAATTCAGTGCTTCAAGGTTTTGTCTGTGCCAGAAAATGCTAACTGTATGCCCAAGCTGCAGCCTGTGGGCCCGCATTTTGGGGTTGGTATTGCACAGTCTTGTTTGTTGAGGCAAACAACAGATTCCCCAGAACATGAATCACAACCAAAACTTTTCCGGTATAAATTTTGTAGAGTTCCTTCTTGGAATTCAAGAACCTATGGAACAGCAAAATACAAACTCCATATTGTGATCCCAGCGGAGCAAGAGAGAAGAAATAAGCCAATCTTTAATGAGCATACCAAAGTGAAACTAGTTATGGTGTTTTGGTCATCAGCAACCATTGCTGGGAATGACCTGGCTGCATACTTCCTTCCTGCAAATGCTACCATGGATCCACCTGCCGCAAGCTGAAATTTTTTCAATATCAAGTGTTTAGATTAACATTTTCATTGAAGTACATTGTAAATTTTCTCATCAGAAAACTAGATTATGATCGAGTTTGAGTATGAATAAGCAGCAGAAGTGTTAAAAACTTTTAACTGCTTCCCACTGTTCTTGTCCTAGCAATTCTATAAACCCAAGAAGATTGTTAAATGTCAACTTTCCTCAAAGAGCACAAGGTGTAAGGATAAATATTTTCTTTGCCCTACTTGAAATTCAAAGCTAGAGATACACGATAGAATATAAATAAAAGAATATTAGGTCATAAATTTTGGATACCTAAGGATAAAATAAACCCTTGAAATGCCGGAGGGCATTAGGCATACAGAAAATTTTTCTTTAGTCAAGACATGATATGATTTTTTTCGAGGATTTCTATAAAATATGATTAAAATTAGCATATGAAAAGTGAATAAAAGAAAATGTCAGTAATCAGTAATGGTTCAAACATCATTGTCCAACACAATATAAAGGCAGAACCAAGAAAGAAATGCCAAATGTTGCAATAAATATCAAACTATAAATGGACAAAACATCAATATAAAAACGGTGTGCTAAACAATCTCTGTCATTTGTCTATGGTAAAAGATACAATAGAAAATTTCTTTCCACTTGCCATCTAAAAAGAGGGTAAAAATAAAGAACTTTAAGAGATGCAAATACTTAACAGGAATGCTGCCATTGATGGTGAGAAGAGAAATCTCGTCGACCTTTGGCCTAAAAACTGCTAGTTGAGCCATTGTACTACCTAAGGCAAGGCGATTATCACAGGGGGAAAGCTGAATATTATCAAAGAAGAAAAATTCCTTCTTTGAAAATGCAAGACCAAAGGTAAATCCATCTGATTTCTGTACTTTTGAATCCTCACAAGGACTGAAAACACCATTAGTATCATCTGCAATTGCAGCAATCATCATCCTCATCATCATTATCACCAATGTCATTTGTGTTACCATGATCATTTTGATCCTCATGATGGGCACAATTACCTTCCCCAATTCTTCTCAGCTCTGCAAAGATTGTGGAAATTTTGAGATTTTGGCTTGGAAACTCAATTAATCTAGAGAATAATTAATTGCATTGTTTGGTGATGATAACAAAGAAAAAAAAAAACAAAAACTCAATGCTAATACTAAATTCCAAAGAAGAAAAACAAAACCCTTCACTAACAAAGAAAATTTACATGCGAAGGAATCATAACACGAACAAAAATAAAAGGAGAGAGAAGATATCAAACCAAATTAAATCTATATAAATTCTAAACCAAACTTACCATGACAATAATACAAAGACTAACAAAAATTAAGGATCCAGAAACTATAGAATTCATATTCCAGCTAATGAAGGAACCAACATTAAAATTTATAAAGAACTAGCAAAGACCAAAACCATATCAGCAGGTCTGTATAAGACTGAACATTTTTAGAGGAACTAAAGATGGTCTTAAAACTCAATTATAATTTTTTTTTTCTAAATTTTGTGAATTAGAAGGAAAAAGAGAGATGGGGTGAAGAAAAAAGTTAATCAGATTGTGTTTGTTTTGGTGAAAGAATTGGATGAGACAATTGATGGGGTTTTTGATGTTCATGGGAAGTAACCTAGGACGCGTACAAGTGGTTAAATCGGCAGGCCTGGTGGATCTTTGTCCCTGAAAACGGTTATAACTTACATGGAAGTTAGGCGTGAAAAAAGGACAATCCTTTGCCATTGTTTTTAAGCAGGCAAGACACAAGCCTTGAGTGCACGAAATCAGTTTAGCCTGAAAACAAAAAAATGGACGTGAAAATCAATTGGTCCACGAATTATTTGAAAATGTTTCCTCCTTTTTCCTATTCATTTTTGTCATTGCCTGAAATCTTACAAGGTACAACCATTAATAAAGCAATCAAATCTTTGGTTTTTCCTTTTTCTTTTTTTTTGGTCTTTTGATAAATCCATAACAAAAGTTTCTTTTATAAAATCTTTTAAGAGCTCAAGAATTTGTTAATAAATGCTAAAGGTTGCACACTTTCATATTAAAACTGAATTATGCATTTGATACAGAAATAAAATTCAACATGAACTATTTCTTTATTTTTCCTCCTGGTTCATCAAATTGAGCCTAAGCAAATTTTGACTGTTAAAAGTATTTTGAAGTAATTGTCAATTATGTATCTTAATGGCATGCCTATTTCAGGGAGGGCCGTATTGTTTTTATACAATTTCTTGTGCAGGGCGGTATTTCTAATTTTGACCATAAGATTAATAATTATACTACTATATGACAAGTAGCCAGTTGCTTTCAATCCCTTTTTTTATATATTAACAATGCTATCTTTATTCCAAATTTAGTGAACTTTTTGCATGGACCTCAAAAAGGAGTTATTGGTGAAGAACCATATAAGCATGCTGTTCTGAAATAGTTAAGAGCATTCAAACGTTCATGTCAATGCTCAGAACTTGAAATTGAAGAAGTTGGATTAATTGCTTCTATGATCTATCATCACCAGATGATTCATTATATTATTACAGGCTGACTTGTATATGTTTCTGACAAAACTTTTTATTTGTCTGAAGCTTGGAAAATATTGTTACATGAGGAAATAATTGAAATTAACTAGAAATCAGAGAGAGAGGAGGAACTGTTTTGACAAAGTTTGAATCTATAAGGGATAATATCAAGTAAATTAAGCTGCTGATATAAGGTTATGTATCCATCAACTATCTCTATGCAACTCTTTTTGTTATAGTACCCTTGTTGTCCAAATGCAAAGGCATTTGGAGTCAAATAAGAAAAAGATGAAGAAGAGCTCAAGGGATGTCGAAAGCTATCTCCCTGACTATAACAACCGGCCTTGCTTCTTCAAGATCATCCAGCTTAAGGGCAATGCTAGGTTATTTTTCTGTCCCTTTTTCGTTTGGTTGCAAACCAAGCACTCATGCATGTTTTTATAAATATGAATTGCTCTATTATATTATGGTGGGGGAAAGTTTAGCCTTGGAAAATAGAGGATGATGGATTGCCAAAAGATATTGGCTCAAGTGGTTAAGATTTATAGTTTGGATGCAAAACACTCAAATTCGAATTTTATTTTTTTTTGTTAAGTAATTTGTATATTAAAAAATCTTTAAAAATTTATAAATTTTTTCGTGAATCGATGATTTTTCCTAATAATGAAAATGAGTAATTCTTAAACTTTTTCCTGACAAAAAAAAAAAAAAGATGGATGTATATAATAGACTTTCTTTTTTTTTTTTGGAGCATACATTTTCTCTGTGAGTTTTCTTTCTTTCTCCTTCCTTTTCTGTTTTACAGTACATATTGTTTTAGGTAATTTTGAGCTACATTTTGAAACTTGAGACCTTCCGCTGTCCGTTTTACCGATAAAATTAAAGGAAAATCCAGCCTCTTCCTTCTAGCTAGGCAGAATCGTCCAAAATGCGAGCCTACATTACACGTTAGCAATCCTAGTTCATTATTGTTGTTTTCCTTTTGGATAACATAAATAGTTATTAATAAATTTAAATATTTTTCTAATAAAAAATTATAATACTAAAATTTAAAATTTAAATTTATTAAAAATAATTTTTAAAGATAATAAGATAATAAACTATTTTACATAAATGTAAATAGAAAATATGATGAAACATTAACCCAATTATCCAAATGGGTGAAAAAAAAAAAAAAAAGAAAATTTGGGTTTGAATCGGAAGAGCAGAAAAAACAAAGATGAATGAATTATTTGGAGCCCAACAATTTTTTAGCATTAAGGAAGCAATGAAGTGATGAAGTTGTAATAAAAGGTAGCTTCTTCTATTTCTTCATTTTGCTGTGCATGTGATTCTGAGTGTGGTCCCATCCACCCTGGCTTGACACGTGTCCGCAAACCTTGTCCTAAACGAATGGAATAAATATAAGGATCCTTTGGGAATTGCTGGGGTCACGACTTCTTTTGCCTTTTGACTCAGTGCTTCCTTTCCTTTATTTACTGACTCAACCCAGTGACCGCAGTGAGTTTAACCAAACTCACCATTGTTGTTGTTTAATTAGTCTAGAATCTTTCTTTAACAATTTTCTTTTGTTTTAAAAAACTTAATCTTTAACTACACATCTTTTTTAAAGTTAAAAATAATTTTCTTTTATAATTTTTAAATTAGATTGTAATATTCTCTCTTATATAATACAAAAAATTATGTACAAAAAATAAAAAAAAGTGAGTATAAATCATATTTTCTTTGACATTAATAAAAAATTTTGGATAATTATGAGTTTTGCATTTTATTCGTTTTAAATAATTTTCTTATTATTTTTTATTTGATTGACTTTTTTTTTATAAAAGCATAATTGTAGGTGTTAAATTTGTATATCAAATTAAATATTAATTTTAAAAATAATTATACAAGTTAATTAACTTATAAAAATAACTTAATTTATAGTATTAATATAATTTAAATGCCCATCTTTTTTATATTTAAAAGGAAAAATATGCTAACATATTAATCAATTATTTAGTCATTGTCAAATTTTGTGATATAGTACAAGTTGCATGCTACTACTATTATTATTATTATTATTATTGATTTATTAGGTTATGGTATGCTGTCAAATCCTAATTTTATTATATAGTATATACTAGGAGTAGATTTAAAATATAACTATAAAATGGGCTGGACTCTCTTTAAAAAAATATTTTTTTCATTTTATATTATTTGTTATGTATTAATTTTCATGAAAATTTTAAAAAATTTAATTTTAATGTATTTAATATTGAAATCTAAAATTTTTTTTACAAAATTTAAGTTTCATTATTGTTAATATAAAAAAATTTTAAAATATAATTTTAAAATATAAAAAATAAAAATTTTAGATGTTAAAAAATAACATAATTTTAAGATATCTTTAAAAAAAGACAAAAAAATAGAAGGAGTATCAATTTTTTATATATACTATGAATTAGTACAGCTTGATTGTTGTTTGTTGTTGAAGAATTGGCATAAAAAATTCAATTAATTATGATTTAAAATGTTGTTGTAAAAGTGCGCTTGAGTTCACCTGTTGGTGAGTTGGTGGGTCAGGACAAAAACAAAACCCCTTAAAAACAAAGGGACGAAAGGGGGAGTCGGTGGGACACACGGAGGGTGCCTCAGTTTTTAAGCAGTCTACATTATAACTCAGTGAGTGACTGTGTTAAACAAACTCAGTTCACCTTTTAGGTCAAGTTGAGGGGTTTCTTTTTTTAAGGTTTTAAAAGCACTATTTGACTAAAAAAAACCAGTGGGGAAGCAGAAGAGGAAGGGGAGACCCAGATCTGAAAACTCTGTTCTTTCTCTCTGTGTGTTGAGTTTAGTTTTTGTTTATCACTGTCTTGTTCTATCTCTAAGCACTCAACAAAGTCTTGTCCTTTTAATCAGTGAGAGAGAGATTTATAGATACATAAAAGAGTAGAATTAGAAAGATACATACATACATACTCTTTGAAAACTCAGAAAAAAAAAAAAAACTCAACCCTCTCTCACAAATTGAACATATTATATGATCTGACCATTTCTCCAAAATGCCACGCCCTTTCTTTCATAAGCTTATTCTCTCCTCTACTCTAATGGACAAGAAACTGGTAAATACTCACAACCCAAATCTTCTTCGTCTTCTTCATCTTCTTTTATGATTTTGTTCATTGCTTATGTTTTTGTTGGCCAAAATTAGGGAGAGCCAAAAAAATTTTTTTTTTTGGTATGGTAATTTATGATTTGAAGAAGAGTTTTTTTTTTTCTTTTTTTGCCAAAGTTTTATTCTTGGAAAATCAGAGGATGATGAAATATATTATGGGTTTTGTTTGTTATGTGTTTTTTTTTCTTTTTTGGGATTGTGGGTTTCTTTTTTTTCTTTCTTTCTTTTGTGTTTTGAAGTGTGTTTTTGACACTTCGAGATGAAATTTGAATGTTCAGACCTGCTAGAGATGTTTGGTTGATGGAATTAGAGGAAGACTAGGAAGAATTGAAAAGTTAGTTTAAGGGTTTAGTAGCTTGTGTGATATGATTTTGATTAAGTAATCCTAGAAGATTGTTTGGCTACTGGATGAACTGGGTAAAGTAGAAGGAAGTGGAAGAAACACAAGATCTTAATTTTCATGCAAAGTCTTTTTACCAGATAGGTAGTATAGTGAAGCGATGGAGATACTTTTTGAAATCAATTAAAGATGCGTGATGTGTTTTTGCCTCATTTTAGTAATTCTATTGAGATATCTGAGAGTATTTGTATTATACTAGAAGAAAATATATGTTTTTCCGGGTTCAATTTTGCAGGAAATACTGTGTCTTGGACAATTCGAGTGAAATGCTTCTTGCTGAATAGTTATTACTTTGTTTTGCTTAAAATTTTCACTCATTTAAAGTGTTGTTATGATTCATTTTAATGGACTTCGTTAAAAAAAAGTTGAATGGTGTAATTTTAATTAATTCTCCATGTAACATTTTAGTTTACCTTCCCATGATCTCCCTGCATGTGAGTGAAAGTTGGACTGATCTGCCATGTTTTAAAGTTGGTATACATTTGCTTTGATCTTCCTGTATACATTGTTTAGTGTAAACGGGGAGTGGGGAAGACACAGCAAGTCTATATGACAGTGAAATAAAGTACTTTATTTCCCTCTTCTTTATTCTTTTGGGGTAAAAAGATGCATGTTTCTATTTCAATTGAAATCTACAAGAACCAGAAAATTAGGAGTGCAACGGGATCTATATATCAAATATTCTGAAAGGATCCCATCAGACATGGCTTTATTATTTACATAACTTTCAGATGAAGAAATGAGCTTGTAGAAGGTGACCTGTATTAATTTTGAAAATTGCAAGATAATACCGGTTGTGTTTTGTATTTCACTCTTCATTCTTGGTGTATGTTACTTAGATTTGGAATTTGATGACTATGTGCCGATGCATATACTTATTTTTGAAATGATTCAAACTTCTCATTTGGATGCTAGTATTACTTTAGTTAAGAGGATGGAGTAGTAGTTTTATTCATCTAACATGAGGTTTAATGTCCCTTTGTTATTAAATCTACAAATTGTTCACTAAAACCATTTGAATCCCAATTTTATTATTCATCACATAAATAAGCCTAACTTGATTTGGGGTGTCTGCAGAGGATCCCTGATAACTTTGTTAAGAAATTCAGGGATGAACTTTCTGTTGCTGCTGCTCTCACCGTTCCTGATGGTCATGTTTGGCGTGTAGGAATAAAGAAAGCTGACAACAAGATTTGGTTTCAGGAGGGTTGGCAGGAATTTGTAGAACGTTACTATATCCGTGTTGGCTACTTATTGATTTTCAGATATGAAGGAAATTCCGGTTTCAGTGTTAGTATATTTAATTTGTACAACTCTGAAATAAACTATCAGACTAATGCTCTTGTTGGTACTCAATACAACCATGGAAAACTATATCCATTTGAAGAACTTGAAGATGATGAATGCATCTCTCCAGCACTGCAGAATTTGTTTGGTGCGCCTAAACTTAACAACTGCATAAACTGGAGTGGTGAAGTCAACCTTCACACATCAAAGGGTGTGAATAATCAACCTATTCGAGGTATGGCTCTCCATTTAATGCATTTGAACTTAAAAAAATTCTACTAATGAAGTGAAATTGCATTCTTCAGGTGCAGAGCTACCAAAACCAAAAAAGCCTGGGAGGAAAAAGCGGAAGTTTGATCCTAGTAAGTCCTCTTAACCAAGTTTTTTGTTTGCTTTGCAGTGTGTAAGGATTTGGAAATTTTCATGAGTTGTCCAATGAAATGTAGATGAACAGGATTCATCTGCTGGACATGAAGATGATGGGGAAATGCGCTTTAGATTTTATGAAAGTGCTTCAGCCAGAAAGAGAACTGTGACAGCTGAAGAAAGAGAAAGGGCTATTAATGCTGCCAAAGCATTTGAGCCGACCAACCCTTTTTGTAGGGTTGTCTTGCGACCTTCATATCTATACAGGGGATGTATTATGGTGAGCATTGATTATGACGTGCCGTACATGTCCTTCTGGCTTCATCCTGTAGCATGCCTCAAGTGTACATTTTGATTTTTTCTCTTGCAGTACTTGCCATCATGCTTTGCTGAGAAGCATCTAAGTGGGGTTTCAGGATTCATTAAACTTCAGCTTCCTGATGGGAAACAGTGGCCTGTGCGATGTCTTTATAAAGGAGGCCGAGCTAAGTTCAGCCAGGGATGGTATGAATTTACTTTGGAGAATAATATAGGGGAAGGAGATGTCTGTGTCTTTGAGCTGCTCAGATCGAGGGAATTTGTGCTAAAAGTTACTGTATTCCGTGTAATGGAAAGCACTGGACTAATGCACCGGTCTCAATAAAATGCCAGCTGAGTGAAACCAGCTATAGTATAACGGCTGGTAATTTCAGGAATGTCAAAACTCTGTTAAGTAACTCTTCCTTTTCAGGTGACGTGTAACTGATCTGGGTTCTTCATAAGAAATTTAGCTGCTGTGCCATTTTGATGTCCATAAGCTTTAATGGGACTTTTGAGCTGTTTTAGGATACAAAAATTTTGTGGCTTGACTAGGTCTGTAAATAGATTGTCCAATGAAGTTGATGTTGAACCGGATTGGAAAAATGGGTCTGAGACTTCATTTTATGGTCTGTTTGATTGGTTTGAATTTTTCATTCACTGCTTGGTTTGAATTCCTCTTGCTGCTTTCTTGCTGTAGTCTTATATATTGCCTTGAGTTTTTCCTTCTGAGTTTACAAGAGAAAACATGCAGCATCTGTTTCACATCACCGTGGAGAACATAGTACCTCTCTTCATCGATGTGAATCAGATGTTTCTATCTTTGAATTCATCTTCCCAGGTACTTCTGTGATAGTTGTCATTGATATGCATTTGCATGTTAAAAGATGTTTTACAAAAATTGGAGCAAACTCTCATTTTGTTTTCTTGTTCTACTGCCTATATTTCAACACAGGATCTTAGGCTTTTTGGATTGAAGGAAATTAGAAGTCATGCATTTGTTGTGTATAGACCTATGCATGAGGTACACTTTTGGTTGGAAAGCAAAACCATGGCTACGGAAATGGTTACTTCCATCTCCCTGGGTTTTGAATTGCATATTGCTTTTGTTGGGTTTTGAGTTGCAGGTGATGTAGATGGTTATTGTGCCTGAGAGCTACAAATTTCTTCTTGCTTTTGTTGCCTTGCCATTTTATTCTCTTCACTGCAAACTTAAATGCAAGGACTTTCTTCTCCATGTTTTCTGGTAGTTAGGTGGAAAACGAGAACAACGATTACACCCAGGAAATTTCAAGACTTTTTAGCAAAAATATGACTAAAAAGCATGTTGTCATTGAATTCTGAATTATCATCTTCTGGTTTAGCATCAGGTTATTGCATAACTCGGCCTTCTTGGGTGGTTTGGCATGAGAACGGAGTTCCTGGCTTTTTTATTTTGTTTAATTATCTTATTCTTATCAAAGGGTTAGGCTTTGAATCTTTTGATATAATTATTGACATAATCTTTGACTTGTACTAGAATCTTTCTTGCATCAAGTTGATTTATGGAATTAGTGACAGTCAAGCCATACTATCGTACCCAAGTAGGAAAGAGAAAGCCCAGTTACATTATGACAGATCAAAATAGTCAACTTTGGGATGTTTGGGAAGAGCAGGAGTTTTGATTGTGGCAGAGCCAATCCAAATGGCAATAATGATTTAATGGGATTTAAGTTCTCCATCCTTTTCAACATTTGTAGAACAATTTCAACCCTTTTGACCCCCTCTTGTCTTGCAACTGATCTTGATAACCAGCTGAAAGACAAGACAGCTACACTCTGCATTTCTAATTTCTATATCAAGCACAACAGAAGAGAAAGTACAGGTTAAATTGATAGACACAGATATCATGAAAATCAAAACTCTTTTCCAATTTATACGTTTTTTGAGTACCTACTTTATATGAAATATACTATCTCTTGGCAGTTCATTTATTTTTTTAAATAAACTGAAACCCAAAAAAAAAAAAAAAGTGATCAAATGCTTTCTCTTGTTCATGGGAAGATTAAAATCTAATATGTGGTGAGAGCATCAAGTGGGATTTTTTACGGGTTTGTGCCTGGACCCTCTCCTGCTGTCTTTCTTTTCCCTTTCGGCTACCCTCTTTCTCTTCTTTTCTTTTCTACTTGGCCCTACTAATCAATTCTCCTTGCTTTTAAAGCTCATTTTTATAAACTACCCCTTTTTTCTATAAAAAAATTTATTTTAGGAATAACATGCATTTACTAAAGGGTGCACATATATTCTAAATAAAGTATGCTATAAATTTTATAAAAGGGAAAATTACATCCAACTCTTTCGGTTTCCCTTAATTACAGCCAACTACAATCATTCGGGGCAAGATGTAGAATTTCTAAAGTATTGGATTTGATTGTAACTAGGGGAAAAATTGAAGGAGTTGAATGTAATTTGCCCTTTAAAAATATAGGAAAAACAATATATAGGGTGGGAGGCAAGGAAAAAAGGGTATACAGAAAATTTTAATGATTAATAAGAGCCAACTAGCTAAACTTTATCATATGAAAATTGTATTGTGAACTACCCAAATCCCAACTAGATTTGATTGTATCTGATTATAGCTTCACTTGTGGTTGGACCCCACAACAGGGTATGCTTGGGAGTTGGTAAAAAATAAAAAATAAAAATATCTACTGCATAGCATAGAAAGTATCAAAGAAACGCTCCCAAAATTATTTGATCAATTATGTCATTGTCTGAGTGTCTGATGGTCAAACAATTCCCAGCTACTCCAAACAAAACAATGTCACAGCCGGTGGGTCCAGCTTTGCCTGAGAAGAAATCCTGCATCTTCTACAAGTTAGTGGTGGCCTCCATTCTTCAAGACAAGAAGCTGGTTAAGTTCTCCTATCTTCCTACTTTCCACTCTCTGTTTGGTCTCTGGGAAAGTTTACATCTTTTACAAATTTATTTTCTGTTCCTTTTTTTTTTTTTTTTAATTTTCCCTTATTTTCTTTCATTGGTTTTGGGGCAAGATGTTGACTTGTTTGCATGGAAGGTTCTTTTCTGTTTGGTTGATAACAAATGTTGAATTTTGTTTAGTTGGCATGGGAGTTAAAGATGAGAAATTTTGGGTTTTTGCATTAAAATTGAACCCATTTTGGCCTGTACATTTCCGAGTTTCAAGAATGGCTTGGATCATCTGGTATTTTCCCTAGGGGGCTGTAATTAAAGAGGAAGAGCAAAATACTTGAAAGTTTAAACTTTATTTGGTTCCTGGAAAAAGCTGAACTGAAAGATTGAATTGTTCACATTGCTACTTTACCTTTGTTTTTTGGGTGTGTGGGGTGGGGTGACTTGGGTCCTATATCCTGTGGGATACATACATACATACATACATACACACACACACACACACACACATATATATATATATATATATTGTGTTTCTTTTTTGTGCTTTTTAGTTGGCATAATTTGGGTACAGACTACAGACTCACTTTCGCTTGCTTATCTTATATATATATCGTATTCATCTCTTCACTTAGTTGGACTCCTAGTAATCTTTTTAAATTGCTTTTGGCCTTGACTATTCTGTATTTTCTTTTCCTTTTGTCTATAATCACTGTACCTTTCCTCTGTATTTAATTTTTTGGCTTTGGACCTCTACATAACATGGGATTTTTCCTTTTTTTTTTTTGCCTGCAGAAAGCTGTTCTTTAGGTACTGTCCATCAATGATTTTTATTTAAGTAATGCAAGTGACTTGCATGTTGCGATTATCGTAATGGCCGCATTGATTTAATCATCATCAATGACTGTTACAAGCATTATACAGCTCAATCTCTAGTATTATCTTTCTCAAATATTGCCACCTTTTTTTCTAACTACTAAGCCTTTCCATTTATTTTAACTTCATAAACTAGGACAAGTTAGCCTTGGCACTTTTTTATTTTTCAGCCGCAATATTCCAGCAATAAGAACATGTTGTGTTGTTTCTGTAGCAATAAAACTGAATGATGAACCAGTAATATGTTCTGTCTCCTTGGTTCTGTATCATGGCAAACTTCCTCTTTTTTTCCAGTCTAATCTATGTTGAAACAGACTTTGACTTGGTTTTTGTACTCACAGAGGATCCCATATAAGTTTGTTAAGAAATTTGGTGATGAACTCTCTTCAATTGCTACACTTACTGTTCCCAGTGGTCGTCTCTGGCTAGTGGAATTGACAAAAGATAACAAAAGAATGTGGTTTGACTGTGGTTGGAATGTATTTGTTGAATACTATTCCATCTGCATTGGGTATTTCTTGATCTTCAGATATGAAGGGAATTCACATTTCAATGTTCATATATATGATCTGAAAACTTCGGAAATAAATTATCTGTCTAGTAGTCTAAGTAATTCGCTAGAACCTGGTCACGGTAAGCATGTAAAAGGCATAGAAGATGGTGACATTGCTGAGTTTATGGGTTCTCAGCTTACATGTTCCAGTTCAAACTTTTTAAGTTATAAAGGTTTTGATGAAAGTCTAGATCATGATAGGAAGAAATATAAGAACTCTACATGTGGGGCTGATCTGAAAAACCTGCACCAGAAAAACAATGTGCATGATTTACAAGCAACGTTTCAATCTACTCAAGACAAAGGCATTCAGTTTAGTGGGGTTGAGCTTACAAGTACTGTAGATGAAGGTGGACTGTTTTTCTTGGATGAAACACAACAAAACACCAAAAAAATAAAACAAGAAACTGAACCGAGTAAGCTCCATGAACTTAAATGCTTTCTTTATAGGGTATTCCTAATTGACTTTACTCTTCCTAATTCATTGAAAGATATAGTCAAACATGAGTCATTAGGCAAATTTGAAGTGAAAGAAGAGTTTCCAGCCATGAACTCTCCAAGAAGTGTTTCCAGGAGGTGGAGAGATGTGACAACAGAAGAAAAACAGAGTGCATTTCGTGCAGCTGCAATGTTCAAGCCCGATAATCCTTTCTGCCGGATTATCTTGCGACCGTCCTATGTCTACAAGGGAATACTTCTTGTAAGCCCTTAAAATAGTGCTTTGATATAATTTGTTGATTCAGCTACAAAATATTCGTTGACTAAGGTTGTCATCCTTTTGTTTCTGCAGCATATTCCACGCATCTTTGCTCAGAAATATCTGAATGGAGTTGACGGGACTATCACACTTCAGGTATCTGAAGGGAAAAAGTGGCCTGTTCGATGTATTTATGCTCATGGAAGTTTAAAGTTTAGCAAAGGATGGGCTGAATTTGTCTTGGATAATAATTTAGACGAAGGGGATGTTTGTGTATTTGAGCTGATTAACACAAAGGAGATTGTGCTGAAAGTTACCATATTCCGTGTTCTTGACAATGCAGTAGCGGTGAAACAGCTATAGTCTAGTAATTGGTTCTTTGACTAGCAAATGCTATCAGGTACATCTTTCTTTTCCTTGTGCCCAGCATGCAGGAGAATGTAAATTTTTTTTTAGTGACTTTTGACACTGAGAAGTGTGAATTGATGATAATAAATAATAAGACCAATATCAAACTTGACTGGGACAGTGTAAATTTGTTGTATATTTATGGGGAGATTCAAGTAATAACTTTGCTAAGATTTCAAGGATAGAAGGAATCGGGCTAAAGGTTTTACTTATCATATTATATGTTTTGGCTGCATTATTGGTTGGAAGCAATTGACCAAAATCTGCTCTGCTATGTTCTATGTTCAATTTAGCAATATGAGTTCATTAGTGTGAAATACTCAATGATATCTAACGAAATTGAATGGCCTTCCTGGTTTTTGCAGGAGCTGGCTGTACTTGTCTCAGTATATCAATGCTTTATAGGTGCTTGAATCTGAAAAAAAAGCAGATTAGGATGAGTGATTATCCTTTTTATGTCTCTTAGAATGCTTTTTGATGTGTGAATGTGAAGATAAAAGGGGAACTAGGTTGAGTGTATATGATTGTAGCCTAATGTGTACAAAGCTATACTTGGAAGTTTGTGTTGTAAATGTTTCATATTTTCCCAGCAATGTACTCTTAATGCACCATTTTCTGTTATTAGCCTTGCTCAGCCTCTTGAATTGGAATAAGGTAGTAATGTGTTTTAGTAAGAAGGATTTTTTTTTTTTTTTTATAATGAGAAAGTGAGATTTGAAAAGGGGGCAAGAATGGTTAAAAAGGTATTTATGTCTAATATAAGTATATAAAATAATTAATAATATTAATTAATTATTAAGAAAAAAGAAGAAATAAAGATTACAAATTTGATAGTCAACAAACATGACATGACACGTAAGAACTATGTATGTAATTTCACCTTCATCGTTGCAGATCAAGACGAGTATATGAACTAATTCATTGGAAGTTTTCTATTAATTGACGTATAGTTGTTTTAAGTTTGTCAAAAAAAAATGAAACTATAATTTTAAGTGAAACCAACGCATACATCTTTGAAGCAATCCTATTATTCTATGGGTTGATGCATGTTTGTTTTTTGACTGATATAATACAGTTGGGTAAATAAAATTAATTTTTCCATATGGGATTCATCATCTTTGACATGGGTCAGACATGTCTATGACAATAGCTGTTATTCTCAACTTGGTATATGCAGAAAATTCCAAAAAAGTTTGCTGGGAAATTTGGGCATGAACTTCCCAATGTTGCTACTTTCATTGTTCCCAATGGAATAAATTGGGAGATAGGATTAACAAAGGCTGATGTGTGATTTGGGTTGATGAAGGTTGAAATGAATTTGCTTAGCATTATTCAATCCTCTCTGGGCATTTTCTGGTCTTTAGATATGAAAGAAATTCCAATTTCCATTTGTTTTTAAGTATTCGGTAAGAATGATTTGAGGTTGACTATCCTAGTTATGTTCAAATGATGATGAAGAGCTCAACGATGGCGAGGATGAGAAAAACTCAGTTCACCAAGATAGTGAAACAGAAGAGGACAAGGAAATTGAGGTTTGAGGTGCCAAAACTCCGAATTTGGATGAAAGGGCAAACCGAGAAGCAATTAGCAGAAAGCACAATGCATCATCTGATCAGAAGAATTTGGTGAGGAAGCCTCAAAGAAATGCTGCTTCACACAAGAATTCTGAAGTTAAACATGCCAAATTGACTAGATGCAAAAGACCAAAGGTTGAAGGGATCGTTAATAATTTCAATGAGCCAAAGCAAATTAATTTGAAGGAAAAAGAAAGATGCAGCTTGCGTACCAAGAAGAGTCACCTGATGAATCAGAATGCTGAGGGTTTACATGATCCGGATATATCTGTTCAACTTCAAGACCTGAAGTGGCAGTTTGATGGGAAGAGCTAATCTGCAACGCAGCCATTCAACAAAGCTTGCAAGTACAAGGCAAATAAGCAAATATAAAAAAAAAAAAAAATCTGCTAAGCATTTCATAGTTATATGATCTTCTCTGCATATTGCCTACCTAAAAACAGAAAATTTGTTTCTTAATTCTTCATCGATAATACCTAACTGCAGGAAAACAAGAGCCAGCACAGCTCAATGCAAGATGAAGAAATTAAAATATTTGTTAGTAGGAAATTTTTTAGTTCTTTTACATACCAAGATCAAGAGAGGGCTATCAGGGCTGTCAACATGTCCAAGCCTAAGAATCCTGGTTTCGTGATTTCTTTTGTTTCTCTTAAGAAAAAAAAAATGAGAGTTACCATTAAAAGTGTAATGTGGAAATGGTCAAGGCTAGGTGAATCAAGACAGCATTGCAGCCTATTAGGTGAATCAAGATAGCATTGCAGCCAAGTACAAGATAAGCATTGATCACCAAACATTATCCACTCAATCATGCCTGTCATAACGTCTAGATTTAGAGATTTATCGTTACACATCAGTTTTAGGAATCGTCACTAATCTTTTTTTATCTGAGTACGATTGACCACCTAAAGAATCTATCCTTTCAAGGAACACATAAACTTAAAGGTCCCTAAAAGAAAAGGTTCAGGTCTGTTGACCAAAATAGAGCTCGAAAGTATGGTTACGTGTGAGAAAAGTTATAGTACTCTCACAACGTCCATCGAAAGATGGTTTCAGCTTGATTTTGTGTTATCCAACAAGCCTTAAAAATTTATCAATTAATTAATTATTGAAAATTATTCTCAATTGACTCTAATACTTTTAGCAAAAAATTGAAAAAATTGAAAAAATTTTCTCACCTTAGGAGTATGCAAAAAAACTACTGTTTCACTTGCAGAGGCTCCATCATAGGATTATTTAACATAAAAAAATTCAAGAAAAGAAAGAAAAGAATAATGATTCAATCTTTGATATAAGTCCTTTCCTTTTTTTTTTTAAAAAAATACTCATCGCTTTTATACAAGAAAAATCGATACTTTCAACTTTTCCTTAAAGCATTTGAAAATTTTATTTTCTAGAGAAATTGATACTTTCAACTTTCCCTAAAATGTTTTTGGAAATTTTATTTTTAAGAAAAATTGATACTTTCAACTTTTTCTTTAAAGCATTTGAAAAATTTTTTCAAGAGAAATTAATACTTTCAACTTTCCCTAAAATGTTTGTTTTTTTTTTGAAAATTTTATTTTTAAGGAAAATTGATACTTTCAACTTTTTCTTAAAAATATATATATTTTAAATCTTTTTATTTTTCAAAAAAAATTGATACTTTCAACTTTTCCTCAAAAATATTTTTTAAAAAATTTATTTTCAAGGAAAATTGATATTTTCAACTTTTCTTCAAAAATATTTTTTTGAAATTTTATTTAAAGAAAATCATTTAAATAAATAAATAAAATAAAATAATAAAATAAATAAAATAAAGAATACTAAGTAATTCTAATCTAATCAATAAATAAAAATAAAAATAAAAATAAAAATAAAACCTTAGAATGACTCGGCTCGGCTTAAGGAAAAAAATGGCTCAAAGAACACGATTTGGGAGTTCGCGGCTCGGCTTGGCTTGAACTCAGGTGGAGAAGCGGGTCGTTGGATCGGATGCACTACGGGTCAGGTCACCCAAATGGGAACGCGCGGATCCTGGGTTTTCTTAAGCACAAATCAACGTCGTTTTAACAGGGTATAAAAGGCAAATACCTTCATTTTTTCACCAGATCTCCCTTTCCTCTCTCTCTCTTCCATTCTTTTCCTCCTCCCTTTCTCTACCCGAACCCAGATTTCGGTTGAAACTTCATTGGAATCTGGTAAAAACTTACCGAAAACTTCAAATTTAGTCAAAAAAATCATAAAAAAATTCAAATGTCATTGAAAAAATTCACCAGATTCTGAAAAATTTTCAAAAATTTTCCAGAAAAACTTCAAAATTTTTGAAAAAAAAAATTCCACAAATTCCTAAAGTTATTTCTAATGCCCCAGAACCTTTTTAGCTTTTGATTCTTCCCTGTTGTGTTTTTCGTGTGATTTTTATAGACCTATTTATAGGGATTGATCAGAAGAGTTTTTGATCAATCCCAATTCCCTCTTGGATTGGGATTCAATCTTTGAATCCAATCTGAACTCTGATTGAATCCCAAATTCACAATAAAATTTCAACTTTCTAATCAATATCATTTAATCCCAGCAAAAAAAATGAATAGATAAATAATAAATAAAATATATCAATAAAAGATATATATATATTAATAGATAAATAATAGATAATAGTTAATAATAAAAATTTATATACATTAATAGATAAATAATAATATATATTAATAAATAAATAAATATATTAATAAATAATAATAGCAATAAATAAATAAATAACTAAGATACAAAAAATTAAAAAATAAAATAAAATAAAATGGGCTTACCCATTTGGACCAGGCCTAATTGATTCGGGCCTGGACCAAATTAGATGTCTACAGCTGCCCCTCTTTGCACATTTTCTATGAAACAGGAATTGTGCAAAGACTTAGACACCCATTCAAGAGTTAACTTGACAATTTTTTTTTTGCTTTTTTTTTTGTTAAAATTTTGATCAAGGCTCCTTTAAGTAGAGACTCAATAACTTTAAAAATAAACAAAGCTTCTCTAAACAAGGGCTCCATGACCTTGAAAATAAATGGCTCATTTAGTCAAAGGCTTAACGACTTTAGAAAAATAAACGGCTCCTCTAACTAGAGGCTCAACTACTTTTAAAAAGTAAATTGCTCCTCTAAACAGAGGCACCACAACTTTGAAAAAATAAATGGCTCCTCTAATCAGAGGCTCAACCACTTTTGGAAAGTAAATTGCTCCTCTAAACACAGGCATCACAACTTTGAAAAAGTAAATGCTCCTTGACGATCATGTTCAAAGGAGTTAAAAATCGTGTTTGAAAGAATTTCAGGAGATTATGCTCAAAGGTCTTACAAATCAATCCTGATACCAAGAAATATCCTATTTCAAGGATTAGAAACTTACCTGACAAGCTTTTTCTCAAATTTAAAAATATCTTCACATCTATCTTCCTTATGTGAGATTTTGGAATACCCCTGCTTCTTGAATTTATACATTATATTTTCTTGAATGTAGTATATGTTATGCAGTGCAATGTGTGCGCATGCATGCTATGCAAATGCTGGCTAATTAATTCTCATTTAATTGTGGTACTCAAGTTTTTCAAGCTCTTTTCTTAGGCCTCGAACCCTTGATTCTTCAAAGACCAAGTTATGCCATTCTTTCAATATCGAGCCAGTGTAACTCTCAATCATCTCTTTTCTCACATTTTTTTTGTAAAAAATCTCTTTCCAAATTTACTGTCCTTATCAAGAACTGAACATCTCAAATTTGCCTTTATCACTCTTAACTTCTTCAATGTAATGTAGAAATCTTTCATGCCATTATTTATTATTTCAAACTCAAAAAGTAAGAATGCATTTGCACATTTCTTCCATTATAAGGTATTAAGGAGAGAAAAATATGAATGGTTAGGAAATAGTCAACAAAAGGCACACAAAGAGTGAAGTAGAATGTCTTTTATTAGTGAAAATGTTGGCAAACTTTGGCCAAGAAAGAATTACAAAAATAAGCATAATGAGACAATGCCCAAAAATGAACAATCAGACAATCATGATAACACATCTTAAGATTCTTTTGAAAACTTAATCATATGATGCACTTAATAACTTAGAGCTCCTCTAAATTTGGCCAAGAAAAAATTACAAAAATAAGCATAAGGAGACAATGCCCAAAAATGAACAATCAGACAATCATGATAACACATTTTAAGATTTTTTTGAAAACTTAATCATATGATGCACTTAATAACTTAGAGCTCCTCTAAATTTGCTAGCCTCCCTGTCAATGAATTTTCAGATTTGATGCTGTATTTTCCTTATCTAAGCTGCATTTTCAGGTTTTTAACTTAGATAAACCCCCTATGACTCAAACCATCTTTTTAGGGTTTTCACCTTGAGTCTTTCTTTTTCATTCCATTTTTTTTCTTTTTTTTTCTTTTAAGCATAATATTTCTTCACAGCATCAGAATTTATAGGATGAGACAAATCATTTCCATCCATCTCAGTCAATATCAGTGCTCCACCTAAGAAAGTCCATTTCACCACATACGATCATTTCCAATTTGGAGTCTATTTTCTTCTATTACCGTGCTAGTTTGGGATGATTTTCTTCAAAACCAACTCTCATTCTCGAAAGTAACGAGGTCGAACCTTTTTATCATGAGCCCTTATCATTCTTCTTTGATATAGCTGACTATGGCACAATACAGTCAATCTCTTTTCTTCTATAAAATTTAACTATTCATAGCATTCTCTAATTCCTTCAGCTTCTTCCAATCCAACTTCTTTTAGAACCCTTAAAGATGGGATCTCCATTTTCACTGGTAGTACAGCTTTCATCCCATAAATAAAAAAAAATAGAGTTGCCCCAGTAAAGGTATGCACTGATGTTCGATATGCATGCAATGCAAATGGTAACTTTTCATGCCAATATTTATAAGTCTCGGTCATTTTCTCAAGAATTCTTTTTATGTTCTTGTTGGCTACCTTAACTGCCTCATCATTTTCGGACGGTATGGTGTCGAGTTATGATGCTTGATCTTGTATTGGGCACATATTTCTTGCATCATCTTACTATTTAAATTTTTGACATTGTCTGAAATAATTCTTTCTAAAAGTTCATATCTACAGATAATCTCTCTCTTTATGAACTTACAAATCACAGATCATGTTACATTTGCATATGATGCTGTCTCCACCTATTTTGTGAAGTAATCTATCATCACAAAAATAAACCTATGCCCATTAAAAGCCTTTAGGGTGATATGACCAATGACATTCATGCCCCACATTGAAAATGACCAAGGTGGCATCATAACATGTAAAGCAGATGGTAGAGCATGGATCTTATCAGCATATATCTGGCATTTATGGCATTTACGAGCATAGTCAATGCAATCACTCTTCATTGTCAACTAGTAGTATCCTACTTTTATGATCTGTCTCACCATCATATGTCCACTGACATGTGCGCCATATATTCCATCATGCATCTCTTCAATGATTTTCTTTGCTTCAACCTTACTTACGCGTCTTAGTAATACTTGATCATGACTTTTTTTGTACAGAACATCCTCATCCAAGAAAAACCTCATAGTTAATCTTCGGATAACTCTTTTATCGTTCTCTATTGCTTGAACTAGGTTTTATTGATTTTTAATATACTATAAGATATCATAACACCAGGGGTTCCCATCCTCTCTCTCTTCTACATTAGAGCAATGAGCTGACATATTTTTAACATCTAGCCTGATAAGTGAATGTCAGTATTGTCATTTTCTCAAGGTAAATGGTCAAACTGGATATCTTTAAATTACTTTATCAACTCTAAAATATACTTATGATATAGGATGAGTTTTGAATCTC